CTGCTGAACATCAGAGTATCAAACCAGTGACGATAGTGCGGGTTTGGGTTTTGATTAAAATTAAAATTAAAATATTAATTAATTAAAATTTTAAATTTTAATAATTATTAATTAAACTAAAAAATAAATTTTATTAGTTTTAATTATATTTTTAAGAGTAATTATTTAAAATAATTTTAGTTTTAATTAAAAAATATTTTTTCTTTTTTTTTTAATATTTATTAATTTAAATATAAAAATTTATACATATTTAATTAAATTATTACTTTAAGTTATTTAAATGATGATGCCCCCACTTGACTTATTTTTTTCATAGGTGTTTTTGTTGGCATCTTGGCAACAGGAAAAAAAAAAAAAAGAAATTATGGCATCTCTGCAACAAAAATAAAAAATAAAAAAGGAAAGTATGGGGTCTGAATAAACAGGGAGGCAAAGTAGGTAAAGTGATCCCATTCTTGCACATGGTAGCATATGTGGAAAAAATAAAAGAGCAAATGGGTTTAACTGCTGACCGTTTAAGACTTAACGGTCAGCAGTGATGGCAACATGAACGATGTTAGGAGAGGGACGACAACGAATAAAAAAAAAAATTAAAGGGATGACAATAAACATGTCTTTAGTAGAGAGACAAAAACGAATAAAATATTAAAGTAAAGAGATAACAATTGGCTTTAAACCTTTTTTACGCCCCCAATAGACGTGAATGTCATATTTTCGATGTCCTAGAGATTTCAGGACACATTTCACATGGTTGTTGAGCTGTAGGCCCTCACCGGCCCACGATGCCAGACAGTGGTAATAATTGTTCATTTTTCGTTCGCTCAAACAGTCAAACTTTATATCCCTCTTCACAGAGTCACACCAGCCTTTTCTGTTTTTTATGGGTCGATATTTAAAATATATTTGGTGAAATTTATAAATGTATTAATCTTTTTTAAATTATTTATATTTTATAAATTTAATTTTTTTTAAAATTTATATTTTTAATTTTAAAAAATTTTAAATTAT